TCGACGAGCAAGCTTCGTAAAACGCTGTCCAAGAAAAACGCTAGGCAAGAAGAACCTTCCCTGGACCAGAATGTTTTCTTGAATGCCCCATCTAGCTTTCAATCGTTTTCAATCCAACTACTCATGCTGATCAAGCCCAGGCTTAATGTTAATGTTGATGGCTTTAAGCACAGGCTCTGCTGTTAGCTTCGGGTGGTGGCACCACCCTTTGGACACGCGCCCGGGATGAGTACTTGCGGCTCCAGGTGGGTTCACATATTTTGTTCATTGACACAATGTTGCAAGTTGAACAACGTTTGTTTCAAATTTTCAAAGCTACGAGCGTTTCAGAAGCTACGTTTCAGAAACCTTCGCAGAAGATTTGCAGATGTTGCAGTCGCTTTGTGTTGATTTCTATCAAAGCTCTGTTGAGTGTGAGCATTTGTTCGGTACTCTTATGGCTTGCGTTTTTCTAGCAACCAATATTAGACAACTATTCATTTTCTTTTTCAGGTTTTATTAGCAATGGCATCCAACCTGCTAGCGATGGCCTCCAACCTCATTTCTATCGAAGTTCTGTTGAGTCTGAGCCATTTATCTTTAGATATACAATGTATGTAAAAAACACCCCTTTGTTTGGTGCTCTTATCGCTTGTTGTTTTGGCCGTTGATGGACTGGCTCTTTTGAGCCTCTTTCAATGTTTTCACGTTCAGTTTGCGTTTCTTGATTTGTAGGTTGCTTTTGAAGCAAGGACGCTACTAGGGGCTCCTGGCCTTACTACTAGGAGCAAGAAGCTACTAGGGGCTCCTGGCATCGCTGCTAGGAACAAGGACGCTTCTAGGTTGGAGACCATCGCTCTTAACTTGTAGCTTATTGTTTCTATTTAATTCTTGTTTCTAATAGCTTCTTGTTGCTACTAGTAAGGCACTTGTTCCTAGTAGCGATGCACTTGTTACTAATAGCTTCTTGTTACTACTAGTAAGGCACCTGTTACTACTAGCGTGGCACTTGTTGCTAATAGCTTCTTGTTACTACTAGTAAGGCACCTGTTACTACTAGCGTGGCACTTGTTACTAATAGCTTCTTGTTACTACTAGTAAGGCACCTGTTACTACTAGCGTGGCACTTGT